AAGTGAATTTTGTAGAACAGGAAATTCTATGAAGCTCATCAACTTCATTAGACTTCGTCAAATTTCATAGATTATTTCTGGGGATATTGTAGCAATTTTGGAAATTTAATATGAATTCGGGGAACTTCGTAGAGCTTTTGAGAATTTTGAAGAAAATCAGGCTACGACTTACATCTAGATTTTTGAACCACGCTCTCGAAGAAACATTGGGTATAATGTAATGTAACCACAGCCCGAGAGAATTACTTGTTCAATCGTTTTTCCAACATAGAAGAGAACTCTGACGTACTAATGGGAAAAATTCTTCATGGAAAATTCTTCTATCAAAAAATCTCGCATTGTTGTGCGCCCACCTTTGCGAGAGAGTCTGCCTTCTCATTGCCTGGGATTGAGCAATGTGAGGAAACCCATACAAAGGTAATCATATATGATCTTTCGACCAGCTCACTCGTCTGCTCCCTTACCTTTGAAAGGAAATAAAATGAGTGCCTGCTTTGTTTCATCGACCGAATAGCCTCAATCGAACTGAGACTATCCGAGAAAATATGGCAAGTCGGAAATCATCCCCAATGCGAAGTTGATTGCTGCTAGCTCAGCAACATAAACGAAACAAGGTTCTTGAAGTTTCCGGAAGGTGGTTGAGTATTCATTGAAGACGCCGAAGCTAGTGGATCGTATTGCAATTGACTTGTTGGTACTTTTCAGCAAAAATACGGGGAATTGAGATAGGTCGAAGTTGATCTGGAACTCCTTGAATAGCCTGTTTCATGGAAAGGTCATAGTCAATGGGGAGCTGTAGTTAGTAAAACATACACGAGGGGGTTACAGCACGGAAGACTAACATCCGATGACATATAATTAAGGTAGATTCGCACAATTCTAGTCTGGGTGCCCAATTCGAGCATTGCTTCGAAGTTTTCAATCACACTGCATTTAAATAATATTCTTAATGAGAGCTCTCAAAAACGGTTCTGTAGGGGTTTTACTCCCGCTAGAACCTCTAGGCTCATATTGTGTGTTGAATGCATTCAGCCAAGGGCAATACGTAAACAACGATATTGAATGCGTTCCAATTTAATTAGGTGGCTGTTTCTTGCTGAGAGGAAGCAATAAGAGCCATACTCAAGAACTGAAAGAATAGTAGTTTTATACAGGTCTTCAGGTTAATTAGGTCTTCCGGGTGAGCACCCCACCATGTCCTGGAAATTGATCGTAGAAAGTTGATCCTTTGTTGACACTTTTGTTTCAAATACTTAGTGAATTGGGAACCTTGTTCAAGTTTAGGAAGGGGCTGTGTCATTTCGACGAAGGACGTTGCGCCGAAGGATGTTTCGCTGAATGGGTCATCATGACGAATTTTAAGCATAAATCAAACTGAATGAACTGGTCATGTTTAAAAGAAGAAATCATGCCTACACACTAATCGAGTCAATACGGTTTTACTGAGTTTTTGAATTGCGGAACTGTTCGGTAAAAGTTTAAAAATGTATGGAAAATTTATTAATGAGAAAATTTGTTCTGAACTTGTACATACTTAGTTCTGTTAACCCAATTTAATGATAGAAAATATAATTGGTCGATTTCATTGATTCCTTACGGATAACGGTCATTTGAATTTTTACCGACTTTTTCAGCAATTCAAAAACCCAGTAAAAAATACTGACTCCTGTAAAAAAATCTTAGTGTTATATATATCAAAAATTTTGATTATTACGAAATTTCTGAAATGAGTACAACTCGAAAGAACTGATCGTGTTTAAAAGAAGGAAACATTTCTACAAATGTAAGACGTCGATTATTTAAATGATTTCGAAATTAGTACAACTTGAAAGCACTGGTCATGTTCAAAAGAAGGTAGCATTCCATCTGACTAGCTTGCCAGGTTAAAACAAATCGGACATTGTTAATCTTTTCTCGAGACTGATTTCAAAATTCACTAAGCTTTGAGTAAAGTTCAAAACCGTAGAAAATGGTTTGCTCTTCGGCGAAATGACCTTTGGTAAAATGTTCCGCTCCCGTTTGGGAAACTTCGTTGAAGTTTAGGAAATTTTTGTTTAATATTAAGAAACTTCTTAAAAGTTGTCTTAGCTTCAGGGCACTTCGTCAATGTTGAATGATCTTTAAATAGATCAGTCAATTTTATGAAAATTCAGGAACCTTTGTAACATTTCAAGGAATTTCGCAGAAAATCCACAAAATTCTAAACAGCCCAAGGACCTTTGAAGAAGTACAACAAACTAGATAGGAATTCTGAGAACTTTGTAGAAGTCAAGCAAACAGTTCAAGGAACATCGTAAAACATCATAAAAGCGTTGGGATTTGTGTAAGTGCAAGAACCTTCGTAGAAGTTCAGCCCAAATTGTAACGGTTCAGCAAACTTCGTAGAAGTTCGGAGGATTTGTAACTTCAGGGTTTTATTTTGGATTTTACTGGAAGTTTTGAGGTTTTTAGTTTCGTGCAGTTGTTTGGAAAAAATCGTTTAGAATACTTAAAGTCTTTCCTGAAGTTTGGAGAAGGCCATGAATCAGTGGAGTCACGTAACCTCACTTGTTGCCTGTTCAACAACTATGAAATTGATATTTAGGGTGATGTTTTCATTCAAATCAGTTTTAAAAGGCACAGAGTCTTCTATTTTCACTGAAATGTATCCTTGGTCAAATTGAGATAACTTTCAAAAAAGGGGCATGCCTTAGCTCAGTCGTTAAGGCGCAACTACAAAGCCAGAGCATGCTGAAGGGGACTGGGTTCGATTCTCGGTCCGGTCTAGGAATTTTTCGGGTTGGAAAACTTCTAGACTTCCCTAGGCATAGAGTATAATTGTACTTGCTACACAATTATACTAATGCAAAAATGGTACAGGCATCGAAGCTCTCAATTAATAACTGGTGGAAGTGAATCTAGAACACTAAGTTGAGAGCACGCAATAAGCTAATATGCGATAAGCAATAAACTTGAAATGCGAAGAAGAAGGAGGAGGATAATAATAATAAGAAGAAGAAGAAGAAGAAGAAGAAGAAGAAGAAGAAGAAGATGGAGATGCAAAAAATAATTATGGAACACGGAAGAAGTTGATGGAACTTCGTAGATAATTTTCAAGAAGTAAATATTAGGGACAATTCAAGGAACATCGGAGCAAGTTTTCAGTTTGGTGAGAAAAAAAATAGTTTCTGTATTTTTAATGAAAGGCAAAAAACAGAAAACCATAAACAAAAATATGAATTTTGAAAAGTTGTTAGACTCCACGATCTCAACAGATTGTCAAATTAATTTTATAATTTAGATATTTTTTTAAGTCCAAAATCTGAAATATTCAGATGAGTCTCAGTTATATGTCAATTTTCCAATGGCACAATATCGAACACTACTGGGCCGAGTGAGTATTTGAACCATATGTTATAAAATGATTCATTGATAGAGGGAACTTTTTGAAGATAAAATGAGAAAATTTGAAGCTCGGTCAATTTCTTACATTCATGTGAACTTTTCGAGACCTCAGACTTAAAAAAACATAATTTTTAGAGATAATGTTTTTTCAAGATCTCAGATTTAACAAAAAACGTAAAGCTTGCCGCAGTCGTAAACGTAGCCGTAATCTTGATAGTTTCTGAAATTTGTGCCATCAGAAATTCGAGGTGGCAAGGCAAAAAAAACAAATAGCGGCTATTTAGGGACTCTATCAACTTTCACCTTAATGTTTTCAGTAATTCGCTTCTAATGAGCAGCGCTGCCGGCTGCTCTTGTCTTTCATTGAGCATGATTTGTTTGCATAGGATTTCAAGAAGAAGAAAAATGCACCACAGCACAGCTTTCAGCTCAGTGAGGCTTAGGATAACCTCGTGTGTAAACAAAACACGAAAGAACACACACACACAGCCTCTCAGCAAAAAATAGACGACTCTTATCCGAAACCATCCCTGCTATTGAAAGTTGAAAATTGATCAGCTTTTTCCCGTTTTCTGCTTGGATGCTTTTTCAGACCCTTAGTGCTTATATTTTTTGTTGCCTTTTTAGACCGAGGAAATGTGCGTGAAATTACCTATTTTTACAGACGTTTTTAGCCCAGATAAGAAGTACAACATTGCACCACCCAACGCACCTACCTACCTACACGGAGAAAAAAATACAAACCAAAATTTGAGTTCTTTTTACTTAATTTTGAGTCGAGTCTCTCACTTGCACTCGTTCTTGTTGTCAAAAAAGGAACGAGAGATTCGACCCAACGGTATAGTTCAGCCCAATAAGTTACTTTTGGTAAATTGCATATTCTTAAAATTACGTGAATTAAATTTAATTTTGGGTTGAATATATTTAAGAGTTAGTATTTTTTTTGCTCGAGGAAGCTACTATATGCGATTTACTCAAATTTAAAAGTACTAAAGTACTTAATTTTGGGTAGTTCTTCATCTCCGTGTACACCTGAAACACAAGTTTTAAGCCGAAAATTGTAGACAAACAGAGGCCTTAGGTTGTTTCTTTTTTGTAGAATACCGGCACACGGCCACACCGATCGTCAAGCCAATGTGTATGCAATCAACCGAAGGCGAAAGAAGAAAAGCAAATCGATTGTGTTCGCCTTCAGGGTGATTTTCAGTCTTTTTTTTTTTTTGAAAAGCTGCAAGACGTTCCCACGAGTTGTTATCAGAATTGAGTCGCCGACTAGTGAATGCAATGTACAAATGCAACTCCAAATAGTTATTAATAGGCTTAATGCATTTTCTGTACACTTCATGGAGCGAAAATAAAAAAAAAAAACACCTTTTCAGTAAGCAAATAGCTGCCCCTTGCATTAACAACGAGAGACAATCGAGGCATTTCAAATGCCCGAAAATTACTCCCCTTGTTGACGTATCAATTATCCGGTCGAAGCCCGCGTGAAATCTCTCGCATGCGTCTCAAATGACCAAATCGAAACCGAACCCACACAAAGGCCCCAACGGACAGACAGAGAGCTAACAATGCGATAATTTCACATTCGAAAAGCAGGTATCATTAACACTCACCAATTTTCGGCCCGTTCGCTCAAATCAAACACCGGCCGAACGAAACAAAGCGCGATGAGCGGAATGAAGAGAAAAACTACTCTTGATGACAACCGCAGCCAAGCCGTCAACGCCGTCACGCACCAATCTCCTCCTTCCTGGGCCGGTCCAAGTTCAACTCCCGTACGAGCGTGCGAGTATTACTTCATCCAACGTTGCCTACCGCCCGTTCGCCTGAATTATCCTCCAATTAGTCGAATTTCATCCACCTAATTTCTATTTTGACAATTAAATCGTTCTCACTTCACTACTTCACGTGGCGCTTACTAAATTGCCTCCAATTTTTCATTCACTTAAAAATAACATCATCACATACTCGTAGCGGCGAGCGCACTTTGGCAAAGCTTCTTCCTCTTCTTCGCCGTCAACTTCTTCGGATGAATATCGTGAAAACGAGCGAGCTTATTATGTTGAGCCCCTTATTTCGTACTTCTCATGTGCACCTAATTATTGTTGCCTTTTCACTTTCTCGCACATCTCTTCGACTTCGGTTTTGGTCGCCTTCTTTGATCAACAACCGATCGAGTGCAACACTAGGGCTTACACATTTAACACGCACACGCTTCTTTCTCCAAATTCCCTCGTTCTCTCCTTCTTCGTGTTCGCACAGACGCTCGATGGTGCCAATTAAATTATTAACTGTGTATCATCAATAAATCTATTAATAATCCGAAGACAACTTCACTGTGCCCGCTCTCTCCATCAATTTTCTATTTCACCAACAATCTTGTGTTCTGCAGCTCAAGAGAACACCAGCACTGCATCCGTTCAACTGCACACGTGTGCACACTATTCGAAAACTGAGCACTCCCCCTTGCGTTCAAACAAACACCCACACAGGCACGCACGAAAACAAAAATCCACCTCTTCCTGTTTTTGTTCTGGAATAAATCTCAACAACAACAACAACAACAGTATACCATCAATCGATTCCACCGAAAGCCCCACGGAGCCGGACCGGAACAGCTGACCGGGATCTTGAAATCAACCTGCCTGAATCGCACACTGCGATGCAAATAAAGGAAAAATGAAAACCGCGAACCGCGTATCAATGCCCGTTCACTCGCGCAAAAACTACGGGAACAATCCGACCGATCCGGAAAATTTGTGTCAGGCTCACCGTCCGTCACGCACAGTACTGATTGATTCGACGACGGTCGGCCGAGCTGCTGAAAGAAGTCGACGGCGACTGATTCTCTCTCGCGAGTCTCAGGCTCAGCGAAATTATCTCAACGAAGGATGCTGACAGTCGAGAAAAAGCGAGAGAGAGAGAGAGAATGGCGACGAGGTGGAGTTTGCGTGCGATATAAGTGGAGAGAGTTTCGTTCAGTGCATGGTAGGAGAGAGAGATAGAGAGAGAGAGCTGAGCGGTGAGAATGAGAGAGCTGTGCACTCTGGCTGGAACTTGACGAAACTCTCGTGGTTTTAGATGGTTAATTTTAGCTCAGAGAAGTTTGTTTTGAAAAATGTGTGGAAGCGTTTGTTTTGTTTATGTTGCAGCATAAATTGTGGGAGAGAGTTTGTGTTTGTAGCATGTTGGGCAAACGTGGTGCAACGTGCTTGCTGTTGTTGCCATTCGTGTAAAGACTTGAACGGATTTTCGGAACTGAACTTTGTGATCTAGTCAAATTTTGTGATTTTACCACGAACCGTTGGCTGTAGTGAAAGCATCGATCATCGAAGGAGAAATGTCCCAAAAGACGGAGGATCTTACTGTGTGCTAAAATTGGTGAGGCATTATGTTACTATGTATGATTCTCAAGGATCTGCGCAAACCTATTTTGAATCAGCTACAGGAGAAGATCGACGTGACTCTTCGGCGGTAGTAGGCAGGATTTCGTGCTGGAAGATCATATGTCGACAAAATTGTCAACCCTTTTTTTGGTTCCATTTGGGGTCCCAAACAACTGTGCAATATTTTAGGACTTCCATCGGAACACCGGCAGTGTTGGCAGAAAAAGTGATTTTTGGCATCCAATTTATTTATTTATTTATTTCGTCAACCAACGTAGACTAGTACAATTAATACAGTTTTGTTTTCTTAAATATATATATTTATATAAAAAAGTAGTGTCAGCTTTCTTGTCTTTTCTTTTATGAGTTGTTATTTCTTATGGAATAAAAATATTGCTTTAGTTTATGTCGAGACATTGTAAAGTCAATGGTTTCGCAGTGTTTATTGTAAGAGGCCATCATGCGGTTTAATGGCCCATATTTTGCATAATTTGTGCGATGATGTTTTATGGCAAATACATTTCGATTTCGGAGTTGCCGAGTGGGTGCATGGAAATTTAATTTTGATAAAAGTTCTGTTGAGTCAATTCGCTGCGAAACGATATCATTTACAAATGAAACCATTGCATATTCACGACGCTCTTTTAATGTTTGTATGTTTATAAGCATGCAGCGTGCTTCATATGATGGAAGAGGAAATGAAGTCCAACCTAATTTACGAAGAGCGTATAATAGAAATTGTTTTTGTACTGATTCTAATCTTTCTTCGTGCGTGATTGAAAATGGAGACCATACAATGCTGCAATATTCCAGTATCGACCTCACATAGGCAATATATAGTGTTTTAATTGTGTAAGGGTCCTGAAAGTTATAGCAAAAGCGCTTGATAAAGCCTAGCATGTTATTTGCCCTGTGAATAATTGTATTGTAATGGTCTATGAAAGTTAGCTTAGAGTCTAAGATAATTCCTAAATCCCTAACTCTTTCACATTTGTCTACAGTTTGATTTCCTAATGCAATTGAAATATTTGAAGTTGTTCTTTTTCTACTAAATGATATTAAGTTACATTTTTTTACATTCAATTCTAGTAGACTTTTTTTGCACCATATGTAGAATATGTGTATTTCATTCCGGAATATATTGATGTCTTCTTCATTTCTTATTTCCAAAAAGAGCTTCATGTCGTCGGCATAAATAAGTAATTTAAGTTTTTTGAGAATGTAAGATATGTCGTTTACGTATAGAATAAAAAGGAGAGGTCCCAAATGAGAGCCTTGGGAGACGCCTGAAGTGACTTGAATTGGGCTCGATTTCTTTCCGTTGAATTTAATTATTTGTTGGCGGTTAGTTAAATATGATTCAAGCCATTTCAGGAGCCCTGACTTAATTCCAATTTTTTGCAGTTTAAAGAGTAACATTGGTATGTCAATGCGGTCAAATGCCTTGCTAAAGTCTGTATAAAGAGCTTCTACGTGATTTCCATTATCCATTGCATTTAATGAATAGTCTATAAATTCAAGTAAGTTGGTCGAGGTCGAACGACCCTTGAAAAAGCCGTGTTGCATGTCAGTAATTCTATTTTTGATTTGGAGAAATAATTTTTCGTTGATAATTGACTCGAAAAGCTTAGGAATGTAAGAGATAATGGCTATACCACGATAATTACGTACGTCAGATTTTCGACCAGATTTAAAGATAGGTACTAGAAATGAGCTTTTCCAAATTTTAGGGAAGGTTCCGGATTCTAGGGACATATTAAAAAGCCAAAACAATGGAGCAGTGAGTTCCATTGCTAGACATTTAATAAATACTGGAGGAATTCCGTCAGGTCCAGGACCTTTTGAGGCATCTAAATTTTTTAAAGCCTGCAAAATGTCCTGCACTTGAAGTTGATTGAGGCCAATGTCCCTTGAAAATTCTGGATAAAATGCAAAATAATCGCGGTCACGATCTTCTTCAGAAAATGTCGTATAAATTTCTTGAAAAAATTTTGCGAATAGATTACAGTTTTTTTCCGAACTATCACCGACATTTTCGTCTAGATGCATTATTGAAGGAAAATTGTCAGATTTTAATTTCGTTTTTACGTAATTAAAGAAGTTCTTCGGACAGGACTTTATTTCACGTTCAGTTTTTGCATTATATTCTTCAAATGCAGTACTGATAGCTAAATTCAGTTGATCGCATAGATCCAAATAAATTAATAAATTATTACTACTATTGTGTTTTTTATAAATTTTATGTGCTTTTTGCTTCCGATTTTTCAAGTTTTTTATTTGTCTGTTAAACCAGACTGGATTTTGTGTGTTTCTGTTACGTCTTTTTTTCTTCAAAGGTATTTCTTCCGAAATTATTTCTGTTAAAATTTTGTAGAACACGTCTATACCAATTTCGACATTTCCTACATTCCTTAAAATTAATTGCCAATTGACACTGTTTAATTTAAATTTTATTTTTTCGTAGTCTGCTAATTTGTATTCAAAGACTTCTTCGTATTCGCAGTCGTTGGGTCTTTGGTTTTCATGCATAAATAAAGAATATTCGATTGCTGTGTGAAACGCTTCATTTTTCCACAGTGGATTTAATGATTCGGTCACACAGAAATCTTCATAAATATTCGTTAGTAAAAAGTCCAAATAGCAATTTTGTTGGTTTTTGATGTGGTTAATTTGGTTCAGTCCTAAATTAGCAGTTTTGTCAAAAATGAACTGCAATGTTTCATTATCCCCAACGACTGGGAGTAAGATACATTCATTTTCAGAGTCCAGAATGAAGTCAGCATGGCGTTGATTAAAGTCTCCATAGATGTGAACTTTAACCTCAGGAGGAAGGTCAGATAGAATTTGTTCAGCACTTTGAAAGAAGGCTTCATAAGTGCTTTTATGAGCATGGTCTGGTGGAAAATACACTGAGGCGAACACGTGCGTTTCACCGGCTATGTGTGATTTCACCCAAATATGCTCAAATTCTGTAAATTTTGGTGTAAAGATAATTTCTGAGTTAAAATTGGCCGAAAGAGCTATAAGAACTCCACCACCTGACTTCTTCTGTGTTGCATGAAAATTTCTGTCGTCTCTGAATACATTAAAGGCATTACCAAAGATTTCTTCACTTTTTACGCTTTCGTCCCAGCTTGTTTCAGTTGCCAAAATGACCGAAAAGGATGAGCATAATAAATGTTGATAAATTTCCTTCATTTTAGCTGGGCTTTTCATGCGATTGAAATTTTGACAGTAAATCAAAATTTCAGTCGCATTCTGTCTGTGTGAAGAAATTGTTGGAAATACGTCGGTTGATAAAGTATGGTCATTGTTATTATTAGTTACCTCAGTCTCATGCCGAGCATCGTTATATAGAAATAATGAGTCTTCCTCAAGGTGCGTCAGCGGCGTTGAAAATTTACAGGATTGTAAAATTTGAGGGCGGCCTCCCTAGTAGATTGCAGCCGTTGCGTGCGTTCACTGGACAGGAATGTACGGTAGGATTGCAGGTCTGCCAAGGCGTCGTTTCGAGTAATTCCAAGTTCTTCATGGACGTCCAGGAAAATTTCGTGCAGGAGATTTCTGTCTTTTGGTAGTCCTTCAGCTGCTAGCATTAGAATAGCACTGGTTTTGGTGATTCCGCGAATACATGTTGATGATGGCTGGTCATGCAGGAAGGAGAGGTAGGTCCGAACAATGTCCATAATTTTCGGGTCCCTTAGACGCGCCTTCAGGAAGCGTTGGTCGCCAGTTACGGACTGTTCAGTAAGTCTCACTATTGGCGGACGCATGGGGTCCAGAAGAGGAGGGTGTTCTCGCTCAGTTGGTTTTTCAGTTCGATAAGGGTTAATAGTTTCCCCTTTTTCGAAATTAATGAAATTTAGTCCGCTTTCTTTGGGTGGCCGAGAAAATTGTATTCGTGCAGCAGCCAAAAGTTCTTTATCCAAAGGTAATGCAGTGCTGTTGTAGAGATGGCTGCTTCGGGTCCTGTTGTTGTTGATGTTGTTGTTATTGCTGTTGTTGTTGTTATTGTTGTAGTTGTAGTGGTTGTTGTTGCTGTTGTTGTTGCTGTTGTTGTTGTTGTCGTTGGTGTTGTTGTTGTTGTTGTTGTTGTTGTCGTTGTTGTTTTTGTTGTTGTTGCTGTTGTTGTTGTTGTTGTTGTTGTTGTTGTTGTTGTTGTTGTTGTTGTTGTTGTTGTTGTTGTTGTTGTTGTTGTCGTTGTTGTTTTTGTTGTTGTTGCTGTTGTTGTTGTTGTTGTTGTTGTTGTTGTTGTTGTTGTTGTTGTTGTTGTTGTTGTTGTTGCTGTTGTTGTTGTTGTTGTAGTTGTTACTGCCGCTGTTTTTGTTGGTATTGTTG